TCTGCCTTTTTCTTCGAACGAACACTCCGTTTACCTTTTCTGATACCCTCAAGGAAGACGCTCACTATTCTCTCTCTCCTTCCTCTCTCTTTCGCCTGCGATCGTGTCGGTTTAGAGACCCTGACCAGCAAGGGATGGATTCGGCCCAACACATCTAAGTTTGGAGCACCAGCTCTCTTTGTTCCAAAGGGAAATGGTCAGTTCAAGATGTGTGTGGACAATAGGGGTCTCAATAAGATTATGAGGAAGTCTACAGAGCCTCTTCCTCGTATCGATGATTTGTTGGATAAGATCGACCTCAAATCTGGTCATCACCAGATTGAGATGGCTGAAGGCGAGGCCCACAAGACAACCTTCAAGACCAGGTATGGTACTTATACGAGTACCTGGTCATGCCATTCGGTCTTTGCAATGCCCCAAGCACTTTCCAAACAGAGATGCATCGCATACTCAGGCCTTACTTGGACAAGTTCGTTGTTGTCTACTTGGATGATATCCTGGTTCGTTCTGTCCAACAGCATGCGCAGCATCTGGCTGGTCCTCCACGCCTTACATGATAACGGATACAAGATTAACAGGGAGAAGTCCTCTTTTGGAGTTCCCTCTGTGGTCTATCTGGGTCATGTCATTTCTGGAAAGGGGTTGGCTCCCAATGCAACGAAGTTGCTACTGTTCAGGACTGCCCAAAGCCTGTTAACATTCGTGATGTTGGGTCTTTCTTGGGTCTTGCATCATATTACAGGAAGTTAATTAAGAACTTTTCTTCCATTGCAGCACCCTAACTGACCTCACAAAGAAAGACACTTCCTTTCTTTGGACACCAGAATGTCAAGAGGCTTTCACACATCTCAAGGAAGCCTTCATTCGTGCGCCTGTTTTGAAGTTACCTGATCCTACCTTGCCATTTGTGCTAACCACTGATGCGAGTCAATACGGTGTAGGAGCGGTACTTCAACAAGATGATGGGAATGGTCTGCAACCTGTCGAATACATGAACAAGAAGATCAAAACCAAGAAGCTGCAGGACTCTACCTATGAGAAAAAACTTTACGCTCTTGTGTCATCGCTCAAACATTGGAAGCATTTCCTCCTGAGCAGGCACTTCAAGATCTTCTCAAATCACTCCACCTTTCAATGGATGAAGTCCCAGGGTGAACTGAATGACAAGCTTGCTCGCTATATTCAGTTCATTAACTTGTTTGACTTTGAACTGAAACACAAAAAGGGTTGCTACAATCGTGTAGCAAACACCATTTCTCGTAGGCCTGACGGTCTCTTCTTGATCTCCTTTACTCACTCATTTGGAGGGAAGACTCGTCCGACCATTGCACATTTGTTGCCCCAGGACCCGATTTTTGGGCCCATAGTGAGGAATCTCCAAGATGATCCTGCCTCTGAATCAGGATATGCTCAGGTCTCAAATTTGCTTTATACTTGCGGCAGAGGGGAGGAACGCTTGTGTATTCCTCAAGACCGCAAGTTGAGAACACTTCTGATGTCAGAGTGTCATGATGCTCGTGGTCATTTCGGTGCCCTCAAATCGTATGCGGCCTTGTCGCAGCGCTTCTTCAGATCTTCTGGAAGGAGATGAGGAGTGACATGTTGCACTATGTGGAAACCTGTGAGTTATGCCAGAGGAATAAGGTAGATCGTCGACCTTCCCTTGGCTTACTCAAACCACTACCCATCCCTGAAGCACTTGCACAGTCAGTGTCTATCGACTTTACTGATCTGGGTAGGACCACACCTCGTGGTATGCATCAGGTTATGGTATATGTGGATCGGTTCTCCACCAGTTAAGGCCCGCATTCCAGCCGTTCAGGCGGCATTTGCTGACAGGTGGGTTACACATCATGCACCACCCACCTCCATAATCAATGACCGGGATCCCAGATTTTGCAGCGATGAATGGCAATCCTATTGTAGGGATTACATTCATTCTCGCCAGGACATAACATCCGGACGTCATCCTGAAGCCAATGGTCAAGCTGAAGTGATGAAACTGATTACGTTCCAATTGCTGCGTCCTGTGACCAGTCCAGACGAGCAGGACAGGGATCTCCATCTGGGTCGTGCACAACTTGTGCATAACACTTTCGTACACTCCTCTACAGGCTTCATTCCCTACCCGTTACATTGGGGTCGTGAGCCACGACATCCTCTCGATGACGTCATCGATAAGGCTACCCCTACATTGACACCGGGAACTGCAGAGTTCACCAGGAGTTACAGTGTGGACATTGAGCGCGCCTGTGCCAACCTGCTGAAGGCTCAAAAGGCTATGATTCAGTAGGCTAATCGGCATAGACGTCCTTCAACTATTTGCACAAGTGACAGGGTGTGGATACTCAGTTACGAGTCGTCACGAGAGGAGGACATTTCACCTAAGCTGTTGCCACGGTCCATGGGTCCATGGCAGGTCTTAGATACAGTGGGAGCTGATCCTTTTGGACCATCCTATACAGTGGATGTCCCTCTGCATCTACAAACCTACCCTGTCTTCCATGCATCTAAGCTGTTGTCATTCACATCAGCTGATGCATTCCCGAACAGGCCTCCTAAGTTTGGTCCCCTGATCCCTGGTAAGGGATATGAGGTGGAATCAATTGAGGATGAGTGGTACAGGCCCAGACAAAGAATACCTCGTGAAGTTCTCTTACCAGCCACATACTGAAGATCACTGGTATAGCAAGGAACTTCTTAAAACTGGAAAGTCTGTTGTCCTCAAATATGAGGCAGCGCAGAAGGGAGAACCCCTTCGACGTTCTGCACGTCTACGCCTCTAGCTCGGAGGTCCTCGCTCCGGGGGAGTGTAGGTCTGCAATGACTTGCTGATTTTTGGTTGCTTGTAGCCTCTCTTGTCGAGGCTGTACTATAGGTAGGATATATTCATAATTTTGTTTCGCTGAGGCTTAACCGAGAGACCTACCTGTAGGGAAAATTCTTGAGGGACACATCTGTAAATCCGGCAAAGCACAGGCCCCTACTAACTGCAATTACCTACAGCTACCCTAACTGCGAATAGCAGGCCCGGTCGGTCCAGTCAGTCCGATCTAGGTCGTGTCTAGGCTAGTGTAGGTTATAGGCAGAATGAGGACATCGGTTCAGGGCTTTTGGCAGTCAGTACCGAGTACATTGCTGCTGTGCAATGAGTGAACTGGAGGTGGTGACAGCTTCAGGGGTGATATAGCGGTTACTCAGGGTGTGGGGAATAAAGCGCTGCTCATTTCTGAGCAGGTTATTCTGGCAATTTGAGACTCAGAGTTTAATAAACAGTGTTGATACTGGGTTTGGACTATCATTGCTTCATTGTTTCCTGGTTGTGATCTACTCGGCTTTCCTTTATGACTGGTTGTGAGGAGGCTGTGGAGTGAATTGCACTTTCAGTGTACCCTCGCATAGTCAAGTCTTCCACTGTGTTTATCTCTACCTGTGCGGTGTGATAAACCTATCCTCTCCCCTTCCTTCTGTGTATGTATGGGCATACCTGGAAGTCTGTGAGTGACTGTTGGTCTTCAGAAAAAAGACAACCAGAATCATCTCTCTCTCTCTCTCTCTCTCTCTCCCTCTCTCTCTCTCTCTCTCTCTCTCACACACACACACACACACACACACACACACACA